AGCGTTGCTGGGAAGTTGCAGGAGAAAACAAGCCTCCCTAATCGGTGCTCTGCCGTGGAGGCAGCGCTGAGATTTCTCCTCTCGCTCTCGGCACAGGGATGATCGTCGTAGGACGGCTGCTAGCACGCCAGCACGCGGGAGGAATCGCCGTGGCAGAGAGCAAAGAAATAACCTGGAGGAAGGATGTTAGCCAAGGCTGGACCGTGGATGCACGGGCGTCTAACGGCCCTGCTGCACTTCCAGCCAGGAGCCGGGGTCTTGTGCTATTGGATGCTAATAGCACTGGTGGGAGCCTGAAACTGTAAAGCACCTTTCAGAAGGGTTTGCATCGCGTCTTCTTGGTGCAGGCTATATGACTCGGCCCAAAAGTCTGTGGCAGAATTGGACCAAAGTCTCCTGCCGTGACGCCAGAGCTCAGAGTTGAAGCCGTGCTCTGGACACCCGCTGCAGGCTGCCCTCAGCTTGGGGGATCCCTGGGAGTCCCTCCATAAGGAAGAGACCCCAGGCGGGGATGGGGTTAGGATGCCTGAGAGGGTGTGTGGTGTGGGGGGGAGTACAGGAGAGCAGGTCCGCGTCTAAAGGCAAGGCGGAGATGGTGCATGGCAATAAAATGCTGCATGAAGCAGGCAGGAAGAACCCACGCGGGGACTTCTGTAAAACAAGGAGCGGTGTTTTGGGCTAGTTCCTGCAATGCACATGCCTCCCCTGTGAGGAAAAGCCAGGAGCGAAGGACTGGCTCTAGGAGGATTAGAGTTTGCACTCTCTCCCTAACCATTTCCCTTCCTCTAGCTCTTCTCCCTCCTCCTCCCTAGTCAGCTGGCTGGTGGAGAGAGGGGGGATAAGGGCTGGCAGCATGGGAAGGGGTCTCTCCCTTGATCAGAGAAGAAATCATTTTCCACCAGCCCTAGATGTCAGGTTTAAGGCCAAGTACCAGGTGGAGATGGGAGAGGAGTGGTGTGTTCTCCGTGGCACGCCTCAGAGCCAGCGGCTTGGCCGGTTATCAAAAGAAACTTCCGAAGAACTAGATTTCAGGGGCAGGAAGAGATAAACTTTGGCCGAGCAACAAGCAAACTCGGTCAACCTTGGCACCCAGTCCTGTCGGGGATGAATGCAGCTGGTGGCTATTCATTCAAGTGTGGTTGTTATCTAGGAACTGAGAGAGAGAGAGAGAGAGAGAGTGTGTGTGTGTGTGTGTGTATACATGTGTGCATTCAAGTGCAGCTGTTATTTTGGACCTGCTCATGAGTGTGTGTGTGTGCGTGCGTTCAAATGCAGTTGTCATCCTGAAGCTGATTGTGTGTGCGTGTGCATTCAAGTGCAGTTGTTATCTTGGAACTGATCATGAGTGTATTTGTGTGTGTGTGCATGTGCCTTCAAACCCGGTTGTTATCTTGGAACTGAGTGTGTGTGTTTGTGTGTGGGTTTGTGTGCATTCAAATGCAGTAGTTATCTTGGAACTGATTATAGTGTGAGTGTATGTGTGTGTGTGTGTGTGTGTGTGTGTGATGCATGTGTATTCCTGTGCGGTTATCTTGGAACTGATCATGACTGTGTGTGCGCGCGCGCGTGCACGCACGTGCATTCAAATTCAGTTGTTATCTTGGAACTGTGTGTGTGTGTGCATGCCATTCAAGTGCGGTTGTTATCTTGGAAATGAGTGTGCGTGTGTGTCTGTGCACGTGTGTATTTAGGTGCGGTTGTTAACTTGAAACCGTGTGTGTGTGTGCATTCAAGTGCAGTTGTGATCTTGGAACTGATCATGAGTGTGTGTGTGCATTCAAACATGGTTGTTACCTTGGGACTGTGTGTGTGCACGTGTGTGCATTCAAGTGTGGTTATCTTGGAAGTGATCTTGAGTGCATGTGTGTGTGTATGTGCATGCACACACGTGCATTCAAGTGCAATTGTTATCTTGGAACTGATCATGAGAGTGTGTGTATGTGTGTGTGCGTGTGCATTCAAACACGGTTGTTATCTTGGAACTGTGTGTGTGTGTGTGTGTGCGCGCACGTGTGTATTCAAGTACGGTTGTTATCTTGAACTGATCGTGAGTGTGTGTGTGTCTGGAATGAGAGCTGCTTTCTCTTCCCCCTTGCGCTCCGGAGGGTTGAGATCCACAGCGTGAAAGTGTCAGGAAAATCTACCCGCCATGAATCATTCCCAGCTCCTGGGCAATGTATAATCCAACCTGTCTCTCTCCGCGCAGTGCCAGGCAGCTCGGGCTGGATCCGACAGTGGGTCAGTGGCTAATTGATGAAGCCTTTATATCTGGGCAGGGAGCGGAGTTGAGTGGAACAGATGAGAATGCACAATTGTTGCTCCTCTTTCCTCCCCTGTTACCTTCCCCTCCGTCTCTCCGTGGCACCGATGGCTCTAAGGGACTCTTCCTTTCCCTTACAGCTGCGTAGGTGGCTTCTAGCCAAGGGAGGGAAGTCCATGGTCGGTTGTATCCGAGGAGGGGAGAGATCATGCTGGTGGGAGCCTGCTGTGGTCACAAGCCTCGGGCGATGACTCCTAACCTACACCTGGGCTTTCATTCTTCAGCCCAGTGGGAATTTAGTGGCAGCCACGGCGAGGGTGGCCTCCTGCTGGGGTAGGCTGGCTGCTGCCATTTGGGCTCAGGAAGGATATTTGTTAGCAGAGCAGGGCCTGTGGCGCAGAGCTTCCCTTTCCCTCCCAGAGGGGTTCATTGCAGCTCTCTTGGACAAGGACCTTCAGATTGGGGTCCTGTCTGCATCGATGGCCTCGTCTGTGCATTGAGCGCTCCTTCCCTCTTGTCGGGTCCATGCCGCTTCTCTTCCTCGGCTCTGCCCACGCGCTCCTGGGAAGGCGCCGGTGGCCGAAGGAGTCCCAGCAGCCAGCTGATGGCACAGGCATGTCTATGCGCAGCTGTAGCTGCGGGGTTGCAGAAGCCTTTTCTCGGTCAGAGAGGGAGCATGGCTTTGCCGGTAGAAATAAGGACTTCTGCTGCTGTGAGAAGGGACACAGGCCTGAGTCCATTGTGGCTTCCAGTGCAAGAGGCAGGGAGGGGTTGAGGGTTTCTTTGCAATCTAAAGCAAAAACCAGTCTAGCTTCTTCAGACCCAGCACACCCTTCAAAGTCAAGGTCACACACGCATACTACAGGGACTTTTCCCCCCTGCTTGACTTTTGGAGTGAATCTAAGAAACCTGGGGAAAATCTTGTCTTTAAAAGTACCAGATCCCTACCCGCAAAAGGTTTGGTGGCACAGTGTTACATGCATAAGGCAGTTGCTAATAAAAGACTCATGCCTTCCATTCAAAGACTGCGTAGATACTTCCTAATAATCCTGTTTGTAATGAGAAGAATAAGCTTGCCTGCAAAGGAATTGCAGCGTGTGTGTAATTTTCTCGTGTGCCTTTTCCACTGAATACAGGGGACTGGACTCCAGGGCCTGGGAGCCACTTCCAGGCCGATGTTCCTATCTAGCTTTGAAACCATCCGTATAAAGGTATTTATGGCCTCTATCCTGATACCACCGGAGCAGCTCCCAGTATTTGTGTCCATGCTCGCAACACCCCGCCCCACAGAAGGGGAATTCGGAGGCACGAAAAGGGTGGCTGTACACAATTAATTGAGTCTTCCCGAGTGGTAATTACTGTGCTCCAGCAGCCTCTCCCGTATTGGCATCCCCGCGCTTCCCAATGGTGGCAGGGCTTTTGAACTAAAAAACTCATCGAACAAGCTTTAGTTCAAGTGCCCCCGCCACCATTTTTAAGCATGGGGATGCTGATACACAAGATGCTGTGCCACTTTAATTAATGTGGCTCTTGGAGCCCCTCTAATTAAAGCACTGCTCCCACCCCCGGAGCACTTGTAAAAGTGCCCAAAGGGACTAGGTGTCTGAGTTAAGCCTGTAGTGCAGCTGGCATATGAACCCAAACCTCCTAAGCCCTAGGCTGGTATCCTAACTGCTGGGCCGTCTCCTCCCTCTGTGCTTAAATGGTTTAAAAATTGGCTGAAATAGAGGATGTATTTGTTATGAGCAAAAGGCTCTTAAAGGTATTAGCTGGGCTCCTGCAGATTCAGCTTTTGTTGTCACTGGCAAAACGCTCATCTCTTTCCCCCGATTTTTTTTCCTCAAATAAGCATCCTCTAAAACCTGCTAATGCAGCTAATTGCTCTCAGGCAGTGTGCGCTGGACCGACAGGCTGGGGGAGCAGTCTGGAGGGCATCATTGGTATTCCACCGGGCCCCTGCCATGCTGCAGACCTCGCTCATTATTGAGGCTAATCGTGCTGCAGGAATTTTTGGGAGCCTGGAGCTTCCAGCTGTGCTGTTAGCAAAAATAACGGCCAGGATCGTATTCATTGTCTCCTCTGTGGAGGGTCTGCAGCTGCGCTCTGAGAGCTACAGGCGGTGAAGAGGCCCAGAGCGTAGCGCACTGCAAGAGTAGAAAGCGGAGCTGGTGGCTGCAGCGTTGCAGGGTACCTGGGACTTCCAGCTCGGGGAAAGGAAGTGAGGATCTCTGTGTGCATAGCATCCAGGGTGTGGGGAGGAGGCAAGCCCTTGTCGGCAGTACCAGGGTGAGCGGAGTGGGATATGCAAGCTAGTAGTGGCCCTAGACCAGGGAGACGGCCCATGGTAGTGACCTGACTTATAGGGCAGCCCTATAGGCAGCATTGTATCCTGCCATGTTCCCCTTCCTCACAGAGGCTATGCTGAGCCTGTGCTCCCGTAGGGTTAGGAGGACAAGCCTGGCTTGCATTGCTGGAGAGGACACGGTTTGGATGAGAGAGAAGCTGTAGATTAGTCGGCATGTCCTTTGTAAAAACTCCCGGCCCTTTCAGTAAGAGCCGGGGCGGTCTCCGACCAGAGCTTGGCAATGCCTCCAGGGGGGTGGCCAGGCTCTTCCACTTGGATCCTGCATTCCCCGCTTCTCCTCCGCTGCCTTGTAGTTGCTCCGTGTCTCGGGTGGCAGCCGCTTCGGGCTTGGCATGTGGTCGTGCTGGAGTGAGGTAGGGCAGAGGGCAGGTGGGGTGGCGAGAGGGGGTTTTCTGGTGAGAGGATGGGGTAGTCTACTTGCAGAGCTCTTTTTGGGGAAGGTCCTTGAGAGATGAAAGAGAGCTGTCCTTACGCACGGCCAACACACTGGCATGCTCCACGGTGCTATTCCTCTTCTGGCGAGAGGCAACGACTTTCAGAGTTGCAGTCCCAGTGGGCCACGGCACTAGGAAAGAAGGTTTCAGGGATTACCTGCCCTGTCCTTCCTGCCATCCCCTTTCTCCCCAGCCCCATGGCTTGGTTTGTGAAGCCTTCTGCGGGCATCTGCTCAGGGAAGGCCCCTGGTAGTCCATGAGGGCCAAGTCTCCACAATGCAGAGGCAGGTGAGCCTTATAAACCGGTGAGAGAAGATGCAGGACTCCTTAAACCTGCTGGCCTACTTCTCTCCTGCTTGACCTGCTTTCCTCTCTCGCCTAGCAATCAGTTTGTGGTTTATAACTTGGGGCGTCTGTCTTACACTTGCTAAGCTCTTGGACTCGCGGGTAGCCTGTTGCAATGGAAGGCTGTTTGTGGTTATCTTGGCCTCCTTACAACATGGTGCAATTTAACGGTTTACTCCTCGCTTTCAACGGTCACACTCCCGTCATCAAAACTATTGCCTCGACTCCTTTTCCTTCTGGTAGTCCCTATGCTAAGCACAGGCATTGATCCATGGGAGGGTAAGGGGGAAGACTATGCTTTAAAAAGGTGTCAAGAGATGCTTCCCCAGAAGCAGAGTCTTTGCAAGTCTATTGTGATGTAGCGGCTAGGAGAAAGGAAATCTTTGTGGTATGTAAAGCTATGGTGTTCTTATGATTGCAGTCCTCCTCTGCCTGTGTTGAAGTTAGCACAGACGTCTTCCACTGCCTGGCTGCATGATCAAATCCTGGAGCTGCTGGGAGTTTGCATGCAGTCTAGATCCAGGATTTGACTCTGTGGGAAATGGAAAAACCTTGGCCTGCTCAATGCCAAAGCAGCTGTATTGCAGTGGGAAAAGTGAATTAGTTGGAACCTGCTGGTATGTCGGTACATGTCCTTGCAGGCTTTCTCCCTGTCAGATCCAAGAGTGCACGAAACCGCACATTGACTTCCCTCTAAATGCCTGTCTGTGTTGGGTTGCGGGCGAGGGAGGGAGATGAAGGAATTGCACAACTTGAATTAACTGGTGCTTGTATAAACGTTTAGATCATAAGTATGACAGTATTGGGAAGAGAAAAGTCGGAGCGAGCTTTCATTTAGCAGGCACCTCTCCCTTTAAGGGAATACAGTTTGCAGTTCTGCACACTCTCCTTTCCTTTTTTTAAGGGCAGTGAGGGATGTTTCATCAGAGCAAAGGAAGCCACATAAGCTGGTAAAAGCAAACACACAGTCAGCCTTGCGGCTCTGCCAGGATTAACCCTACATGTCTGCGCTGCAGTTCAGGTTTTGCAGGCGAAAGGGTGACTCCCTCTTAAATACTTCTGGCCTCCAGCTCTTCTGCTGGGCATTTGCTCTTGCTATTTTTGTCATCGGGGCTTCCCCATAATCTATATACAAGTATAACAGAACTGTCCTTGGAGCCAGGTTATTCTTTGTGATGCATTGGTTAATAGTTACTTTTGTCAGAGCAATAAGTCTGCATCTGGAGCTGATGAAAGGGAATAACCGGAAGATCTGGGATAAGTCAGGAGTGAGTGTCAGCCTTCCTTCCCCCAGCTCAGGCCTCTGCGCACCCCAGCCCAGGCTCGCGGTGTTGTCAAGCAGGGTTCATTTTTAAAGGAGAACTTTGCTCTTCATTCTTGTGGAGAAAGTCTGGAGACACGTCGCTATGAATGGCCTGATTGTCTGGTTCTCGCAGCAGCCTGTATAGTTATGCGACTGGACGGGTGGTTGCAGTGCCGAGGAAGGCTATGGACACTAACCCCCTTCCTCGAGGACAAGGCTGCCCTCTTCACTTCCCCACCGATGAGTCCGTTCAGAGCAATCTCCTCTTAGCCACGGGTCCCTCACCCCTCGGTGCCTTGACGGAGACGAGCCAACGTCGGAGAACTGGGTTGATGCTGCTACACCTTCCAGTTGGGTGCCAAAGCCCTGGCTTGGGGCTCGGCCCCTGGCAGCCAGCAATTTGTGACGTGCATTGGTACAAAGGCAGATGTCAGCAAGCAAATATGGGATCTGGCTGTTACGGGGAAAAAAGTGAACCCAACCAGCGACAGCTGTTTTGACTAAATGAAGAGCCCAGCACTCCTTCCTGCCCAGGGCAGGGGGTCAGACTCGATGATCTAATAGATCCCTTCCAGCCCTAAAATCTGTGAAGACTTGTATCAGGTAGTATTAAGGCCTGAGATGAATCTGGGGTGGTGGCCTGGGTTCAAGTCCTCTCCTGACCATCCTGCAAGCTGAGTCTTCTGCGTCGCACCGTTCCCCCAGCATCCTCCTCTTAGTTGGGACTGATACGGCAGCTGCTTCCAGTCCTGTAAGTAGGGCAGAGCCCCAGCAAGAAGGGCTGCATGGCATGAATGAGCAGCTTCCTCTTTGGAGGACTTCCAGGACCACCCCATCTTCTCCACAGTGTTCCCAGCCAGTAGAAAACACCGAGCGCAGGGTAGCTCTGAAATCCTGCCCTTCTCCGAAGGCCACACAATGGCACGTCCAGCCCTGGGGGATCGGGCCCCACAATCCTCCTGTGGGCAGGTCCCTCCTGTCCTCCATCCTTTCAGGGAAGGGACCGGGATGCTGGCACCGGAGCACACTTGACTATTGCATCCTGGTGGGTAAAAGTCAAGTGCTTGGCTGGGAAGGAAGACTCATGCTCCTTCTGTGCCTTGCATTTGAGGCATTGCATAAAATGCAGACGCACTCTAGAGCAGGGTAAATTTGGGACATTTACCACATCTCTCATGGGGCAAGCACTGACCGCTAGGCTGCAGAATTGGGGATGTGCCCTCACCCTCTCGTGAATCTCCCATTGAGGCGGTAGCACTACTGAAAAGGGGTGGACAGTGCCTCTTCAGGGCTCACTGACGGCTATGGGTAGCTACAACCCAGGTCCCCTGCTTCCTGGATGAGTGCTCTAACCACTAGGCCATGATATGAGAGGTGTTTTCACCAGCTTTAAAAAGAAAATGGCTTCGCCTGTGTGTTGTGAGGCTTCCCATCCTGTCGAGGGTAGGTCTTGAGTGCCTACTGGAGTGGTCCCTAAGGGGACGTTAGCCAGAACCACATCTAGTTTTGGGTTCTCAGGCTTAGGCTGGAGTTAGGTGCCCACATTGTGCATGCATGTGTGCGTGCATATATGTGTGTGTGTGTAGCCTTGGGCAGAACCGAGGTGCCGTGTCCTGCTGTAGACACCAACGCCCTTTCTTGGAGGTCGTTAGAAGCCCCTCGAAGCTTACTATGAAGGATTTTTTCCAACTATTTGAGTTGGTCTAATAAAATAATAATAATATTGGAGTTGGTGTAATAACAGGTATCGGGTTTATCCAAAGCACCTTGTCTACCTATGTCCTTAGACCAACACGGCGACAACCTACACCCCTCAAAGTGTGCGGCAGAGCTGGGTCTTCCAGATCCTAAGCGCGTGACCTGCTCTCCTTCCTCGTGACTTTAGTAGCAACCGACACCAGCTGAAGAGCAACCTATAATTTTCCTTAAATCCCTCTCCTTCCCTTTAACAAAATAGCTGTGTGCACAGTGTAGGATAAGCAGACTCTTGAAGTTGGTGCCTCGCATGTCACCTGCTGATTCTCCTTGGATACCCTGGGCTTCCTTACGCCATCAGGTTCATTGCTCGTTAACAACTCCCTCTTTAGCTGCAAGGTTCCCGACTGAAGGCGAAATGGGTGTTTTCACATCTGTTGCTGCATCTCATTAAAGCAGAACGTCATTGCAACCCTAATTTTCTCCGATTCCTGGAAATGCATCTCAGCCTCTGTGGTTCCTTCTTATTTCTCCAAGGAAGCCGGGGCGCTCGGCAGAGGACTTCATAGGTATTTGGAGAATGATTTCCATTTCTAGCCGTGTCCTTAGACTATTACCACTAAACATAAAGGACTCCTAATGGTTGGGTCTCAAGTGCTCACGCCTGGTCCTAACGCGGTGATTAGTGTTAGACAGCAGACACCATCCCAAATTACCTGTCAGGAAACAGAGAGAGAGAGAGGAGGGACCTGTGCAATTGCAGTGCAGCTTAGCAAGAAGACGTTTTACCCAGATAAAGCCACTTCCGATGGCTGCTTGCATGCAAAGTGACTGTTACAAAGAGTCCTGAAAGAAGGAGCGATTAAAAGCACCACCCTTTGCTAGCAGGATGGGCCAGATCACTCGTCTTGCTATCAGCGGTGCAAAGCCAGAGGTAACCCCACTGACCTCAGTGGGATGGTGCTGCTTTTTGCTTTCCCATCAATATGGACAAGTACAGAACCAAGCCTAAAATGTCAGGCGGTTTCCCCGCACCCCTAAAAGTCTCTTCCCCGCATCCCTAAAAGTCTCTTCCTTACCAGTTGGAGCCATGTGCCAGATGCTCCAAGTGTCCGTGCCTTTCAAAGAGTTGCCTTTAACTCCCCCAGTGCGTCAACCTCCTGTTCTCTTTTGCAAACACCCCTCGGAGGATCCGGCTGCACTTTTATGCCAATCCACCTGGATCTTTCTTTTTAAGGAAGAGCTATCATAGCTTGGCATGAAGCAATACAGAGCGGGAGGGGGAATCTCGACTGCCCCTTCCCTTGAACTGATTACAAGAGGGGAAAAAAATCCCTCTCCTGAGTCCTGAGTTGCATCAACATTTCTGCAAAGGGAGTTTTTTTTTCAGGAGAGACAGATGCAAAGTTTCTTTTATCTTCAAAGATTTTTTTTTTAAAGAGCTTAACAGTCTCTGCGTTTAAGCTGGTTTCAGCCAGTTTTTTTGCTCTCTGTTTGCACTTGAGTATGAAACCTGGAGAGTTGGCTTTGGAAGCTGAATTGATGCTTCAGCGAAAAAACTCCAAAGTCTTCAATCGCCCCCAGTGAGGAAAACAATGCTGGACAGTAACCACAGGTGTAGAGCCTGATTAAATGCAGGCAGGCTTATCCGGAGCACAGAAAGCCCAGGTGTGCACAGACCTTGGCAATCATGGGGGATGTTTTCCAGAGACCGAGACAAGCTTGAAACTGCTGCTGTTGTGAGAAAAGTGACTCTGGTAAAATAGCGTCGCGGGGGTTCCTGATAGATCTGTTCAAGCTGCCATGTCTATTTAAAAATAGAAATCGCTAATGCTCTCTTCTTCCCAGCCCATAGGATTTTATTCCCTCTGATGTCCATTTGCAACTTGCTTAGCTTTCAAGGCATTTTCTTTCCAACTTGCTGCCTGGGCACATCTGATATTTTGGCCTTTTACCTTTTCTTCTGGGTACGAAGGCTCTGCATTTACTTAATGGGGACGACAGATAAAGCAGAGGAGAATCTGGGTTTCTGCTTCTGATAGAAGTATCATGCTAGCACAAAGTTTCCGTATCCCTGCTAGAAAAAAACAGCCAGGCCTGGAAACTAGTGGCAAAGATCCCAAGTAAGCCTTTTATTTTATTTTTTTCCTTTTAAAGGTCATTGAGGTTAGAAAGTCCACCACCCTGTGATTTAAACGACAAAATTGGGAAGTCCTAAACCATGCAGTGACTTGACACAGCCCTTCAGCCAGAGCTGCCACGGTTTGTAGAAAACCGGACTAGTCGGGGCTTCTGTCACGTGGGACACTTAGGATGGGGCAACCATACTTAAAACGCAAGGGTCCGTGCATTCAAGCAGTAAAACGCGTGCCAAGTGACATTGTAACTTAGCAAAGGTAGGACTTTCTATCAAAGGATTGTAGACGATGAGGGTTGGAAGGGACCCCAGGGCTAAGTACAGATATTCAAAAAGCCTGAGGCTGAATTGATTCAAACTTTGCAGAGGGGAGCGTGGCCAGACCCTGGCCCCCGGCTGGCACCAGAGGGTCAAGCAGCGAGAGCAGGGGCATGGCCAGACCCCAGGCCTAAGGCAAAGGGGGGACGGAGGGGACCCCCCCTTCACGCTGCCACCCCCACTCCTGCCACCCCAGCAGTGAGGGGGGCACTCCACAGCAGGGTTTCCCAACCCCTTTGCCACCAGCTGGAGCAGTGATAATGCCCCAGCTAGGGAGGGCAGGGGTGGGACCAACCCTGCTGCTCTGGAGCAGACGGCACAGCCCAACCCAGAACTGCAAAGCACCCTGGGATGCTGGGGGACGGTGACTTAACTTAAACCAGGAAGGAGTCTGGGACAGAAGTTCCATAAACCACTTTCACCTAAATCCGTTACGTCTGATAATGCATTCGACCAGGTTTATCTTAAACCAGTTTCAGCCATTGTGAAAGAGGTTTATGTGCACTGAATTTCGTGTTCTGTTACAGGTTTAAACTGGTTTCTGATCACTTAAACCGGTTTATGTGTAACTTCTGTCCCTAGCCCAGGAGGTGACATCTAGTCCAACCCTCTGCTCAAAGCAGGACCATCCCGAGTTAGATCATCCCAGCCAAGGATTTGTCTAGCCAGATCTTAAACACCTCCAAAGATGGAAATTCCCCATCCTCTTTGAGTAACCTGTTCCAGTGCTTCGCTACTACCCTCCTTGTGAGAGAGTTTGCTCCTAGTATCTAACCTCAACTTCCCTTGCTGCAACTTGAGACCATTGCGCCTTGTTCTGTATAAGGCAGGGGTGGGCAAAATGTGGCCCACGGGCCAGATGCGGCCCGCCCGGCCATTCTAGCTGGCCCGTGGGGCCCCTAAAAAATTTAGAAAATTAATATTTATCTGCCCCTGGCTGCCTGTCATGCAGCCCTTGATGACTTGCCAAAACTCAGTAAGCGGCCCTCCACCCAAAATAATTGCCCGCCTCTGTAAGGAGTATCGCCAGATGATGTTAAGTAATATGTCTTCAGCTATTGTTGGACTGCTCCACAGAGATAACATAAGCAATTTGTGGTTCTCAGCCATCCAGGGACCCCTCTGCTGTACCAACCCTCTGTTGTTGGTCTCATCCCTGGCTCAAAGCAGGGCCGGTTCGAGACTCCTGTGCCGTGCTGGGATGGATGATCAGCGAGCTGCGCGTGTAAGAGACTGTAGTAAGCATTACCATGCAGCTGCTCAGACCATGCTCTAACTTTTACTACAGCACGGTATCACTTACTGTGGTCTGAATTAAATGCATGTTAAGTGTCCCGTACCTTAAGTCTCTCTCCATGTAGCCCCCGGAGAAAGTGAGCTTGTCACGGGTTGCACCAGATTAGAAGAACTGAAGATTACATGCGGTGCCATTGGCACAGGCATGACATTGGTCTGATGGTCATGGCATGAATGAGAGATCCTGCTCCGTTCACTGTTATCTTTCCTTGGTCTTCAGCATGCTTTAAGACTGCTGTAGTGGAGAGAGCGGGGAAAGTGCTGCCAGGGGAAGTTTCCAGCTTGAAGGTGGTCACGGATAGCAGAAATGTCGTGGCCCTTCATAGGGCAGTGGTGACGATCGCAGCCGCAGACTTGGTCTCTTTCTCATGCAGTTGTCCCTGTGGCAGATGAACATGTAATGGCAATGCTGCCTCGCACCACCCCGAATCCCAGCGGACGGTGGTGCCGTTATGTCTGCCGGCTCGTGGGGAAAGCAAGGAGAGAAGCTTCGATTACAGGCTGCTGAACTCTGCGGTAGCCTAAAATAGTCTTTTTTCTGTTTCCTGGCTTGCTTGCTTGCAGTGTGGCTTTGCAGTAATGCCATAGGCAATCGGGGAGGGGGAAACGCCGACTAGATATTCCTTATCTGACACGTGGCTTTAAAATCTGTGTAGCTGAAAGCCCATTTCAAGTGTAGGCTCTGATCCAGGGGTGCCCAGAGAGATCTCATTGAAGACCCTGGGGCAAGGCTAAGCATGGCATAGGGCATCACGTGGCAGGAGCATGATGTGCATGGCCCAGCCTAGACAAAATGTACATCTCTATCCATTGTTTTGCTCTTGGGTTTTTTGTTTGGTTTTTTGTGGGGGGTTTTAATTATGTACCTGCAGAAGCCTCCTGGACAGCCGTTGTCTTTGTTTGTACTGGGGGAGATTATGATAGAAGAACAGGGCTGGCAGGGCCCTTGGGAGGCCAGCTAGTCCAGCCCTCACTTAGGGCATGGTCATCCCTGTCCAAACCACCCCAGGCAAATATTTGTCTAACCTGCACTTAAAAACATCCAGTGAAGGAGATTGCACAGCCTCAAATCTGTTCCAGTGCTGAATCGCTCTGAGTTACGTTCTCCCTAAATGCATCCTTTTGGCGGGATTGAAGTCCCGATGTCCTCTGCACTCTGCCAACATATAGAAAGGGAGAGTCCTTGCCTCAAAGAGCCTGCGATATGCACAGACAGGACGGAGCAAGCATGGGAAATGGAGATGTTTTGATTGGTATGGAAGTAACGGGGACCGGACTAAGGGGTTTAGGAACTGGCTTCTCATCACACCTCCAATTGTCGTGTTCATGGAGAAGACCTCAGTGAACAGGGCTTGTTTCCAACAGGGTCCCCCAGGGATTGGTTCTTGGCCCTATAAGATTCAACATGTTTTTCAGTTCCCTGGGCTGCAATAAAATAATTGTTGCAATTTTTTTTTTTTAAGGACACAAAGATTACACAAAGGGAAGGATGCTAAGTGATCTTCATTTGGCCTGGTTAAACAGTCAGAGTCCAGAAAACAGGTTTAATACACCCCAGGAAATGCACCTGGGAATTGTGTGCGCAGGCCACGCTTACGGGATGCAACACTGTCTGCAAAAGCAGTGACCTGGAGAACATCTTTGGAGTCATCTTAGGTGACAAGTCCTTAGGGCAGTACTATGGCAAAAAGAGCCATCAAATGATCTTGAGGTGCATAAAGCAAGGAATGCCCAGGGGAGGTGGGTAAGCGATTTTGCCACTGATAAGGCTTTGACTACAGTGCCCTGGCCCAGTCCGGTGCCCATGCTTCAAGAAGGATGCGAAAATAGTAGCGCGAGCTCCAAGGAGGGCAACGGAAATGTTTCGAGGACTGGAAAGCAAATTGGGGATGCGAGACCGAAAGAATTCAGCTCAGCTGCTCAGAAGGCTGCGGGGTGACTGGGTTGCTCGGTGTGGATACTTGCATGTGGAAAAGCAAATCTGAATGGCGGGGACAGGACTTTGCCTTGCTGGCCAAGACACAGCAAGACCTAATTGCTGGAAATGGAAGCAAGAGGGATTCAAAAGGCAGTTTTCTAGCAGTGAGTGTTAGTTAAGCACTGAAACAACATAGCGATGGAGATGGTCCCTGGGCCCATCAGAGTACGTATCTTAAGAGATGCTTTAATCAAGCTTTTGGGGAGCAATTCTTCAGATGGCATGGGGTGGAAGCTGGGCTGGATGGTTATGTCGGCCCCTTCTTACCTTGTGAGCTGTGGATCCGCACACCTCGGTTTCCAGCCACCTTGCATGAGACGTGGAGGTAGCATTGTCCTAAAAATGCTTGAGGGACCTTGTTCACCATATAAGTATCAAGCAGAAGGTAGGGCAGATAGAGACTCTGTAGTTTTGGGCCTGGAGGAGAAACAGCAGGAGTTCAAGGTTGACCTTGTCACCTCCTTGCTGGGCATGGGGACCTCTCAGGTGCACGTGGCTTTGTCTTAATGCTGAGGGTGGCTGCGATTCCTCGGGACATTATTATAAGCACGGTTGTATGGTCTTACTACAGACCCGCAAGCACTGAGAGGAATTAAACCTCTTGCTTCAGGGCCTCAGCAGTCAGCTGCAGTGGTCAAGAAGGAAGCCATCGTGATGTACAGTATGATGTATTTTGGGGTTTTTTCGCTTTCTAAAGCGTCAGAAGTTTTCCACTGCCCTAGATGGTCCACCGCATGGGGTGGAGCAGTACTCTGAGCTGATCGAAGGGATGGTTCCCCTCTATTCCTCTCCATTCGGCACTGGGGAGGCCACAGCTGGAGTCCTGTGTCCAGTTGTGGGCCCCCCACTACAGAAAGGATGTGTACAAGTTGGAGAGAGTCCAGCGGAGGGCAATGAAAATGGTTTGGGGGTTGGAGGACATGACTTGTGGGGGACCTGGGCTTATTTAGTCTTTGGAAGAGAAGCCTGAGAGGGGATTTAATAGCAGCCTTCAACTCTCTGAAGGGGGTTTTCAAAGAGGATGGAGCGGGGCTATTCTTAGTGGTGGCAGATGACAGGACAAGAAGCAATGGGCTCAAGTTGCAGCAAGGGAGGTTTAGGTTGGATACTAGGAAAAACTTTCTCACGAGGAGCATTGTAAAGCACTGGAACAGGTTATCTAGAGACATTGAGGAGTCTTCATCCTTCGAGGCTTCACACAGCCTTGGCTGGGATGATGTAGTTGGGGCTGGTCATGCTTGGAGCAGGGGTTCAGACTAGATGTGACCCCCTGAGGTCCCTTCCCACCCTCATTTTCTGCGCCTCTATGGCTTTTACAGCTGCTTGACTGATGTGCCTTGCTCAGAGTCCCCAGGTGAGGTTGGCAGGGACCTTAAATTGTTTTGCCTTCCTTGCCTGCTGGAGGAGCGACTTGCCTACTGCAGTGATACTCAGTCGTGGTTGGCTTTGGGGTCGTGTGAGCCATCCGTCTTACCGTGTTACCATCCACCCCCAATGTAGATCTTTGCTGGTATCTTTTCTTGCAGTTTGTCCTGTTAGTTTTGTTTGCTGGTTTTGACAACTTATTCTTTGTCTCACGACCATTTTAAATGTTGGTCCTGTTTTCCTAGGTACCCTCGACTCCCCTCCCTCCCAGGCATCATCTGTAGTTTCTGTGCATTGTGCACACCATCAGTGAAAATACTGGTGCAGAACAGGCCTCTGTGAGACCCCAGTAAAAGTATCCTCCCACCTGAACAGCAAACCCTTGATAACTTCAGTGCAACGGGTGCACAAGTTGTTGAAAATCCTCAGTCCGTCAGTGATTTCATTGATACCTAGTTTGTTCGTGAGCATGGCACGTGGGACGGCATGGAGAACCTTACTGAGGTCAAAAGATGTCACGTCCGCTGCTTCCCTCTTATCTGCAAACCCTATCAAAGGAGGAAATTAGATTGGTTTGGTGTGATTTACTCCTGGTGGTTTCTTATCGGCTGTTATTCTCCAGGTGATTATACATGGATTGTTTGTTCATTTGTTCGAGCGTCTTTCCAATTACCAAAGACATGGCCTTAACTTCCCATGTCCTCCTTTAGCACATGAAAGACCTGTGCTATGTTTACCCTTCTCCAGTCCTTCGGGACTGCCCCCGTTCTTCAGAAATTCTTGAAGATAATTGCTGATGATTTAAAGCTTGCTTCGGCTAGCTTTCTTAATACTCCAGGGTGAATTTCAACAGCCCCTGCCAGCTTGAATGCATCCAACGTATCTGGATGTTCTTTCCTTCTTTCCGCCTACACTGCTATCCCCTTGTAGAAGTTAATTGCATTAATTGCATCTGGTCACAATTAACCTTTTTGGTGAAGACTGAAGCAGAAGAGACCTCAAATACATCCATCTTCTGCATGCCGCATGCTGTCCTGTTCCCTGTCCCCGTTAAGCAATAGACCTAGGCTTTATCTTCCTTTTCCAATGTATTTATAGGCCCTTATTTGTTGCTTTTTTATGTCCCTGGCAAGTTTCAACTCATTTTACACCTTAACCTTTCTGATATTTATCCCTACCTGCTCACACTATTCCTTTTAGTCATGTCTTTGTTTCCAGTCTTTGTACTTTTTAGGTCACATAAAAAGCTCCCGCTTTATCCATGTTGGTCTCTTACTGTATGCTCCCTATCTTGCCCTCTCTGTCGGAATAGTTTGTCTCTTAATACCATCTCTTTCAGTAATTGCCAGCACTTCTGCACTTCCCCCCTCCCTCTATTTTCCCTCTTCTTTTTTTTTTCCTTAAGTTTGGTGAAGTCTCTTTAATTGTTTTTAATCTGTCATCCTTAGTCTGTTGCTGTCAGTCCTTTGGCTCATGAGCTCCACCACTTCCTAGCACGGGCCAGATGACATGCAACAGAAGTCAGACCAGATACTCTAACATCCCGTCTCTTCATTTTTTCATAGACTCTAAGGCCAGAGGGGAAGTGGTTCACCCAAGGTCGCGCAGCAGAGCAGTGTCAGAGCCAGCCACTGAACTCGGGGATCATTCGAGTTCTGGCCCCGCGCCCCCAGTACTGGATTACACTGCATTTAAGGTAAATGGCAGCTGCACGGTGACCGTGCAAAACCATCCCTGTGCTCATGGAGGTCAAGATGAGATGAAAAACAGGAGTCTATAGGCAATCTAATCCATGCTTGGGCTCCAGAACCAAGAGATCCAACTCGGTCCTAACAGCTGATCACCCAGCTGCTTCACCTGGACTAAATCTGGGAATTTACTCTAGACTGTGCATGGGTGCGGAGGCCAATATTTGTCCGAGGTGCTCTCTTTACAGTGCGGGGAAGCAAAAGTAAATAGAGGCAAGTGTGGAGCAATATCATGCTCGCCTCAAATCATTTTTGTTGCCCTCCTTGGAGTTTGTGCTACCATTTCCACATCCTTCTTGAAGCATGGGCACCGGACTGAGCCAGGGCACTGTAGTCAAAGCCTTATCAGTGGCAAAATCGCTTACCCACCTCCCCTGGGCATTCCTTGCTTTATGCACCTCAAGATCATTTGATGGCTCTTTTTGCAGTAGTATTGCCCTAAAGACTTGTGCAGGAGCCGTCACCTACGATGACTCCAAAGATGCTCTCCAGGTCACTGCTTTTGCAGACAGTGTCACATCCCATAAGCATGGCCTGTGGGCACGATTCCCAGGTGCATTCCCTGGGGTGTATTAAAAGAGTTTCCTGGACTCCAACCATTTAACCAGGCAAAATGGAGATCGCTGAACATCCTTCCTCTCGTGTCATCTTTGTGTCCTTAAAAACAAAAAATACCAACAACTATTTTGTTGCAGCCCAGAGAATTGAAAAACACATTGAATCTTGTAGGGCCAAGAACCAATCCCTGGGGGAGCCTCCTGGAAATGAGCCCTACCTATTGAGGTCTTCTCCATTAACACGCAAAAGGGTTTGACTTGCATGGGTTTCCTGGTGCGTTCTGAAAATACTGTCGGCATACAGACGGGCAAGCGGCATTTGGCCCCTCGCGAACATTTCCTGTTGGATAGCCTTGCCCTTCACTCTGGAAGGATAACTTTGTTACTACAGGATCACTTTGGCTCCCTGCCTTTATCAACAGAGCAGTTTGTAGGCAGGAGGCCAAAGGCAATTTGATGTGGTTTCTAATATACGCCATACACAAATGAACTAGAAATGCCTGTGGCATATTCCCTCCGCACCTTAGAAATGTGCTGCAGACCGTGCCATCCCAAGATAAGAACAATGCACCTGGCTCTCTTTTATTCTTTGGCTAAATGACCACATAAATGTCTTTCCTTGGCCTGAAAGACAACCGTCTTATTTGTTCTAATTTTTATTGAAGCAATTGGCAAACGAGATTGTTATCCCTCTAAAGATTTCACGCGGTTCGCTAAGAGAATTCGCGCCTTGTAATAGTTAAACTGCATCCTGTTTACAAGGCAATTAAGAAGCCCAATAAGAGCGAATGCACAACAGCACCGATATAGGTTATTGCTCCCTCAGCTAGGGAGAGACGATAACTTGCATAAATAGCTCAGCTAGTCTTGAGGGTCTCTGTTGTGCACTCCATGTTATCAGCATCAAGTAAGTGCCAGCTCCCTCCTGGAAGGCTTGAAGCAGTCACAAGTCATTGGTACTGGAACAGAAACCCCTATTGGGTTGTCTTCTCTGCTTACTCCTGCCGGGTTTTTTTTTTAATGAAGTAGGGCAGGAAGGGAATTTGCAGATGCAGGCTGCTGAAGGCATTGAACTAACTAAAACTAGCACTGGGCCTGATTTTTTTTCTGCACACCGGTGCCAGTAGAGCTGCTCCCAACTTTCTCCTGTGTGAGAGCAGAGTCACCGGCCGATTCTTGTCCCTAAGTTTTAGGATCATGGGAAAGTAGGGCGGATAGGGATCTCAGTAGGTCATATGGTCCAGGTAGGATCATCCTGTCATGACTAAACTATCCCAGCCAAGTGCCTGTCCCACCTCTTCTTGAAAACTTCCAGGGATGCAGATTACACAACTTCTCTAAAAGTCATAAGAAATCACCTCTTTCATGAGTTTCGATTCGTTTTGCCTCTGGACCAATACGGCGACAACCTGGATACCTGACAACTTGACCCAGGGCTTGACCACCCTCAGAGTCAGAAAGTCCCTCCTAATCTCCAACCTTAATTTCCCCAGCTGCATCTTGAGACTATTGCTCCTAGTCCTGTCCTCTGAGGTTACAGTAAAAACTAGTTTTGTCATGGATTTCAGTAGATCTAGGATTTTACCCATATGGCTTAAAAACTGCATTGGGCACATGGATCAAGGAGGTTGCCCCAGCTCGCTTTCCACATCGGTGGCAGTTGAATGTGTCTTCGGAAGAAGAGAAGAGAAAATATAGCAGTTAGCCAGCTTTTCTCGCTTGAAGAGTAAATCCGGAACAGCTGGTGGGCTGAGCTGCGAGAGAGGCCTTGAGTATAGTAAATGGGTGCAATGTCTAGAGGTGTCTCGTAGGCAGGGTTTAACACTTCAAGAGCCTCCTTCCTGCAGCAGGCGGCTTTCGGTAGTAGAGAATCGCAGTATGTCCATACACGCGCGTCTCGGCCCAGGGGACAATCCCGTTCTCCTAAATGTATGAGCTCATGCTAAATGTATGAGTGGCTGAAGCTGGAATGTACCTGGCAAGAGCTACAGTAATGCATAACATGAGACCAGAGGGGGGAACGGCTCCTTTTGCCTTGAGGTCATAGAGAAAGTCCAATTTGCTGCTCGTTCCTAGCTGAAAGTGGCAGCCCCCCTCCCCTTCCCCCTCATCCTCCCCGGTATCTCTCAGCAAATCTTTAGTAGCTCTGTGCCCCAAGATCTCATCTTCCTCAAATGTGCTGGATTTCTGTTGGAGCAGACTGCCTGATGAAGCGGGTTCATGCCCCAAAGTTTGCAATTAAAGACTTTTTTTTTGCAAAAATCTTGTGGGTCTAATAAAAGATATCATCTCTGCTACGAGTCCTGATTGCCTATTGGAGCAGACTGCACTTTCTTAGACCACTTAAATTGCAAACTGTATAGGATCAGGCTGTGGGGTTTGGGCATTGTTTTCATATCGTGCTGAGTCCTGGCTGCTGCCTTAAACTCCTGGGAATGACCATGTTGCGGGGTTTTTGGTTGTAGCCATGTTGGTCTAAGGTCATAGGGCGGTCAGGTTCATCGCCTAGACGTGACATCTTTTATTAGACCAACTGAGTAATTGGAAAAAAGTTCTTTGCGGGGCCAGAACTCAAATAATCCCCGAGTTCGGTGGCTGGCTCTGACACTGCTCTGGTGTGCGACCTTGGGTGAATCACTTCCCCTTTGGCCTTAGAGTCTATGAAAAAATGAAGAGAGGGGATGTTAGATCATCTGGCCTGACTTCTGTTGCGTTTCATCTGGCCCGTGCTAGGAAACGATGGAGCTCACGAGCCAAAGGACTGAGAGCACCAGACTAAGGACAGCAGATTAAAAAAAATAAGAGACTTCAGCCAACTCCAGAAGGTACTCAGTTGGTCTAATAAAAGATATCGCATTTACCCAAAGAACCGTGCCTGGGAATTACCATAATACCCGAAAGTATATATGATCAGGGCATTTATGGTGATGTGCTTTCCTGTCTTTGTGTTTTGCATATTGGTGAGTAATTCACAATGGATCTCCAGGTCCTTGGTGTGAATTAGCCAGGAGCCACTGTTTGCTCTATGGGGGGAAAAGGGGACTCACAAGCATGCCTGTGCGAACTCAGAAGTCAGTGCGAACTTCTAGGAAGTGGCTGGCAAAAGGTTTCTGAGCTGCAGAGGAGCTCAAAGGACAAAACTGGCAATGATGACACCTTCAGGGTGTCTAATTGCCTGTCGTTAAAGGGTAGAGGAAGAGGTGATAATAGCATGTGCTTGGAAACCAGGAGGACTGAAACGATGGGAAGAGGATGAGAGATGCTATTAGTCATTGTCCGTCTCTACACCACATATGACCATTTGGTTTCACATACTTGTGCTCATTTGTTGTACTATGTGCAGCCTTTCATTGTATGTGTGCCTTCAACCAGCGGGCATTGCAGCAGGGGTTGCATAGTCTGAGGCCCTGTGCCACAGTCGTGCGTGGTATAGCCCCACTTCTTTAATTCCCTGGAGCATCCAACTCCAGTACATCGGCGGTTGAGACATCGCCCCGTTTGCCACGGTTCGTCATCCGCTGGTGGTAAAGATGCGGCTGCTGAAGCGTCCATTTTTTCGCTGTCAGGTACTTTCCTCAGCCTCTCGTTCCACATCTGTAGCTGTGTCTCTTTGGATGTGGTATCGAAAAGGTTGCTCCTGCATGACTTGAGTCATTTGTGTGCTGCGGGGCGGTCGGACAGCGGGTGCCCCACGTCTTCAGTTTGTCTCGATTGCTCTGGGACCCATCGGGTAATACCTCGTAACGCCTGCAAATTCTGCTAACATGCCAAACCACGATTTGACTATCGGTTAACACCTGATATTTTAACCTGTGGGTGGGGGAGGAGGGACGGGTTGTTAATGGGGCAAAAAGGAGTAGAAGAGCAGCAGCGCAGATGGATGGGTTTGTTCTCCAGGGGCATCTCTGCCGCAGAGCTCCCAAACCCCTTGTTTGAAGGATAATGAGAGAGCTCGTGGTGCTAGTTAGCGAAGTGCAGAAGCTGTAGGAATAACGAGCATTTCTCACTGCTCGAACGCGACTGGTGCAGGCCTGTGGGATGCCAGCCTGCTTGGGGGCATGTGGGTTAAAGCTTTTTATCTGGGAATGGCGTTGTAGTTGCCTACAGTTGTGTTGGAGCCATTAAAACACAGCCATGAAAAGATCTAGCAAGGGCCGTAAAGCAGGAATCAGCCGCTTGGCTCCGTTCTCTCGTGACCTGGGAAGATGGCAAGGTCAGAGGTTGAAAATAGGATGTGTTTACTTAATTGGCCGAATTCAGGGATCAGCAGCCTATAGCCCGCAGGCCGGATCCGGCGCACCCAGTGGTTGCATCCAGCCCATGAGGCCTAGATATGGTCAGTGGGCAGCTTTGGTGATAGGGAGAAGTGACAGCGAGGAAAAGCAGCAGCCAGTTTGGAAGGGCTGGCCAACTTTGGAGCAAGTTGTGTCATTTCAGCGTGCTGCCAAAAAGGTTGCTGATCCCTGGTTTAGAGGGCCCTGTTGTCAAAACTGAGGGTTATTATCAATGTTGTAGAACAGCGAGACTGGGACTTTTAAAAAGAAAAGTTGTGTGTTAAGAGATACCGGTCATTATTGTTTTTAAATAATAATAATGCAGTGCATCAAGGATGGGCTATGTCGTCCATCCCAATATACGGGAGAGATACGTGACCACTAATGCACTCTGGATGTCTGCAGTATATCCATGGCAGAGCATGTTGGGAATAATGAATGAGATTTAGAAGTGTGCCCTGGTCTTTTGCAAGGATATTACAAATTACTGTGACCGTGCAGTCCAAACTTGTTACCATCCTCGGGAACATTTGATGTTGGTCTCGCACCGTCTCCTTGGGTTCATGCACAACTTAAACTTTTTTCTTCGTCCTACAGATTTGAAAATGCCTTTATCAGCCTGGTTCAACTTGCTGCTCCTCCTTCCTTGCATTGGTACGACCAAGACTTGCTATCCAGGATGCCACTGTGAGGTGGAGAGTTTTGGGCTCTTTGACAGCTTCAGCCTGACCAAGGTAGACTGCAGTGGAATAGGGTCGCACATTGTTCCTGTGCCAATCCCATTAGATACCTCCTACCTGGACCTGTCTTCCAACAAACTGGAAACCGTCAACGAATCAATGCTTAGCGGCCCAGGTTACACGACGTTGGTTAGCCTTGACCTTAGCTATAATAAAATTGCCAAGATCTCTTCCACTACCTTCTCCAGGCTTAGGTATCTGGAGTCTTTGGATCTGAGTCATAACTCTTTGGAAGTCCTCCCAGAAGAGTGCTTCTCCAGTTCACCGTTGGGGGACGTAGATTTGAGCAGCAACGGCCTCTTGGAAATAACAATGGATGTCTTTGCTTCCAAAGGTCAGGGGAAACCCATGAACGTGGATCTATCCAACAACGCGATACGCAGAGTTGCGAGACATCGCAGCAGAAACATTCCCAACATCCAGAGCTTAAATCTTTCTGGAAACAAACTGACTACCGTGCCAAATCTTCAAGGGATTCCTCTTCGATACTTAAACCTGGATGGGAACCCATTGGCCAAGATCGAGAAAGGTGCCTTGGTGGGGCTGAAGGATTTAATCCATTTGTCTCTCAGCAGTCTGCCTGACTTCAGAGAGATCTCTCCCTACAGCTTCAAAGAATTGCCAGCCCTCCAGGTACTTGACTTATCCAGCAATCCCAGTCTTAAGTCTTTGAGTGCTGAAGTCGTCTTTGGTTTAAACTCCCTGCAAGAACTCAACCTCTCCAGTACCGGTGTACCATCTTTGCCAAAGACTGTGCTAAAATACTTACCTTCCATCAAAAGCATCACCTTGGGAAAGAATGTGCAGTGTTTTAAGACCATTAAAGAAGGGCAGTACCACCGACAAATGGGACACACCAAAAAAGAGGTCCTCAGTTGTCACGACAGCAATGGGTCTGTAGCGGCAGCACCCTATGTTTTGTGATGACACTCGGAGCGGGTGGGAACGGAGGGAATTGTACAGCTATCCGGACAGAAATGGGCTGCAGCGTGCCTTTTGTAAAATTGTCAATAATTTATATATTTGTATATGCCAATACTTGATTGCGTGTGTGTTTTATAAACTCTGTATTACTGGCCACCATTTTCTTCCACAGTCCTTTGCAACCTCGTGATTCCCTCCAGCCATTTTCACATCATGCCTCCAGCTCAGGAGTTCAGGAATAGCGTTTTACTGTGAAAGGGGACCAAGCAATGTCGCTATTCTGGATTTTTAATAGAGGGAACAAATGCATTCGGACCAATTGTACTCGCAGCCCTCTCTGGTGCACATCAAAAACGCGTGAACTCTGCAATCCTTTACTTGCAAATCCATGTTTCATCTCCTTTCCTTTTTTTTTATTCCTCAAGAAGTGCCTTCCAGATGTTGCCTTCATTAGCAGAGCCTTGCTCATTTGTCATGCACTTTCGGTCTGAAGAAACCATTTGGGACACATGTGAGCAACGGGGTGCTGCTAATGTTTTTAAATGCTGTTTGCATAGAAGTGCAATGAACACTGGGTAACTGGGAACCATATTTTCCCCTCTGTCTTTCTGATTGCATTGGAGCCTCCATTGAGAAGCTGTCGGGAGGCAGATGTGTCCTTGATCTTACTGGAGACAAAATGCTCAGATCTAGCCCTGTGTCTATGCCGCTTTTGCTATTCTTGCAGGCTCCTGCCTCTCTCTGTCCTCTGTATACAGCAGGGTGGGTCTGCCTTCAATAAAGAGCAAATGGTCTGGGAGCTCAGCTCCCCGAGGGGCAAAGGAGCATGAGCTGTGAAGCAGAGGGAGCATGTAAACTAGATTTGAAACCTTTTCTGGGGAATCTTAAGGAATGCCCATGCTCCTGCTTATCTTGACAACCTTATCAACCAGAGACAGGACCCAAAGGACTGAGCCAAGAAACTTTTTGTTCCTCCGTTGCCTTCCCCTGCCTGGGGAGAGCTTGTGCAGCACAGCTGGGCCTTGTGAAGGCAGTTTCATGCTAGAAAATATCTGCCTACCAAGGGCAGCACAGGAAGGGAGGAGAGAGGCTCCAACCCCAGTGCCTGGGGTGACATGTGCCGGCTCTCCAGCAGCCCAGGGCAGTGCAACACTTGCTGCTCTGTGCTGATTGTTCCTTCCCCACCTTGGCAGCTAACGAGTCTCTATTTAAGCCCTTGCCTGTAGAGCTTGCAAGAGCACATAACCACATCCCTCTTCCCTCGGTTCCCTGCCTGATGAGCATGGCAGTCGAGAGAAACCACAGAGCAAGGACAAAAAACCGGTTTAGGGAAGTGGGTAGCACTGGCTGGAACAGGAAGCGGGGGGACAATGTGGAGGAAGTGGGGGCAAGGCCACTTGCAAAAAAAAAAAAAAATGGGGAAAGCTGCTCCATTGAGCTCAGTGGGGAATTTGGTATGAGTCCCCAAAGGGAGGGACTGAGGCAGTCAACCCCATCAGTGGAGGTGTCTCCTTCCCCGCTGGCTGAATTTGGTCCACCGTCCCTAGGTAGGGAAGGGGAGGACGAGAGAAACCATGCAAGGCAGCGTCAGCTCTCAGCTGTATTGGGCTATGGTCTTGTAGGAGTAATCGCGGCCGTGTAACCAAGGTGTGTCCAGACTAACTAGAGGAGAAAAAGGGCAAGGTTTACCATGCGTTAGCTGCTAGTGAGCACAGTGTTATCCCATGGTAAGGGAAAGCTACCCCTGTGGTTAATATAACTCCCTTTCCTTAAGCAACCTTTTCCTTCGTGGTTTCTCTGCACCGACCCAAGCTGCCTTTTTAACCAGCTTAAGTTGGTGTGTCTGCTCGTTTCCGTTTAAACCTTTTTTTTTTTTTTTTTAGTTTAGTGTAAGTCTATTAGGAAGGGTGAAACTAAACTGCTCTAAGCCACTATTTAAGCCCAAATCGGTATGTCCGCCTGGCCATTCGCATCACACCCGTATTGGTTCAGTTGACCGATGTGTAGACAGCGCTGAGGTTTAATGGAGTCAGAGTTATCCCAGACTTGAGCAGGTGCAAGAGGGATGAAATCAGGCCCGTCTCGTACGCCAGCGCTGAGAATGGCAGCCCACAATATGGGGTGATAGGAAATGCAGGGGCAGAGCCTCCAGGGACTCAGGACAAATGCAGTGGCCCCTGGAAGCTGGGGGGGGAAGGTCATACAGAGTAGGTCAGGATGCACCTGGCTATATCCATAACCGCTGAGTGAATTATTCTGATCTGCCGAGTAGAAGAAGGATGACCCATCAAAGGTGCTTTGCACTGGAAACCCACATCATGGATCCCAGGAAGAGCAACATTTTCCTGCTTTCATCCTCCAGAATATTTTACTGCCGGAAATTACAGCTGCCTCCAACCCGTTCTCTGTGGGAATGGTAGACAACTGAGCAAATTCAAGCCAGCTGTTGTCTAAGAGGGGCCGATTCACAGCTGTAGTTTTATCCCAGCTCTGAATCCAGCATTGGCTTTCCAAATAATGTTTCCCAGCAAGAGTTTCGCTCGTTCTAGTACTAAACGGCTCGGTCCTCTCTCGTATCGAATGACAACCATTTCTGGTTGATTTTCCCCGTTTGCTGAGCTTTTTCATTGCTCAGCTGGCCTTCAGGGTCATGAGAAACCTGTAGATTTTCTTAAAAAGGCAACAACATTGTCTCGGGCAGAGGATGCCTTTCTACAAGCCTTCAGGAGGGGAAATGATGGGCAAAGAGTTGTACTGAGTTGTCCTGTCTTTCTAATGGAGCTTGCCTTTTTAAGATAATTTTTCTGCTGGCAGAAAATGTAATTTTTTTTTAAGTTGTTTAATTTTATAATTGTGTACTTAGATGGCGTGTTAGGGGAATAATAAAGGGCGACAGGAGGTCGGGCCCTTGTACCACTGTGGTAAATTTTTAATACCCGATGTGACAATCGAATTGAAGACTGCAAGATGAGCTCTTGTAATCTCATGCTAGCTGCTAGTTAAATGAGTCTCAGCAAGGGCTGGCAAAGACCTTCTCTGTATCTTTATTTTTTTTTCTTTCTTTCTTTTTAAAAATCTCTGCAGCGTTGTAATGCTTTACGATTATTTCACAATATAATAAAGTGATTCGGAGAAGAATGAAGCTGCCTTTCCTGGTTTGTTCTTCTGATGCAGCCAAATGCTTGGTTGCTAACGATGTCGGAGGAACCTCGCTCCACCCCAGGTGGGGTTTGAAACCGGTGCTTGCTTGTGCTGTCCCCGATGGTGCCAAAGTCAATGAGATGGCACCTATCTGCTCAAGGCAGTGTCTGCCCCACTACGGCACTTAAAGCTCTGGCTGGAAGGGAGGATGAAATGCTTTGTTTCAATGTGATGGCACTGGAAGGAAAGCTTTGGCTTTTGGACGTGCAAGAGAAAGAGCCGCAGGGTATTCGGAGGGCATTTTCCCCCTCCAAGGTCTGCTCCAGAGTCCACTGGAGTCTCTTCAGCAAGTTTGGGGTCAAGCCTGCTAGTGGGAGATGGTCATAGTGGGGAAGGACGGTGGAGTAACAAGTCCAGTCCAGATCCTGGAGTCACTAGGATTGTCTGTGCCCGTGACCTATGTCCACAGCACCACTAAAATGACTGAGCTTGAGACACGGGTGTTCAACCACCGGCCCGCAGCCCAAACCCAGATTGCAAAGCCATGATATCTGTCCCGCAGGGCTCCCCATGGGTCAGGAAATTTGGTAGCAGGGGGCTAGTGGCCCAATTCCCAAGCCCTGCTTGGTGGGTCAGAGCTGGGCTATGCCTCCTTCCCTCCATGTATCTGGGTTGAGGCTGGGTCACCCCAACATGGGTAGATCAAGGCAAGCTACACCCCCCACACCTGGTTCAGGGCTGCCCCCCACTTACTCTGCATGGGCAAATGGGGCCCTGCCATACCCACCCCAGGTGCTGGATCAGGACCACCAGCTGGATCTGGCCCACTGTGCATGCGGTCCACTGGGCAAAAATGTTGAGCACCTCCGCCCTGAAACATCACTCGGCTTTGCTGCAAGTGAGTGCCATCTAAACACCGTCTGGCATGGAGGCAAAATGCTTCCAGCAAAGAGATGTGTATGTGTGAGCAGGCGTTGCAGGGAGGGTGTGTAACCGCCTGGCTTTAGTATAGATAGACACAGCCTCAGCCTTCATATGCCTCAGTTGCCCCTAACTGCATCACCATCAAAGAGGTAAGCTTAACCGAGGTGCGTGCCGCTCGGTGTCCTTCAGAAAAGCGTGAATGATAAAAACATCCTGTTTTGTTTTGTTCTGAAGTGCTTTGCCCCTGCCGAATGAGAAGCCCGGTAGTGTTTAATTTAAGCACTTGGCAATTATGCAGAAGTAAAGCGAAGGTTACAAAAGCAATACAAACAAATCCTCTGTGCTCAAGGCAGCTTTCAAGCACCAGCCCCGATCTTTATCTTGCGAAGCTGAACAGCCATTGAAATATTAGCGGTAAAGCGCACGCTGTCCGATCTAGTTTCTTTACACAACTCGAGTGACGGATTCCTCCTACAGGGAAATCATACCACATTTAATCTTTCCTGCTGGTGAACCTACCTTTTTCTTGTCCCATTACTGGTCCCATCACGGCAATTGGACATTTATCCGTTCCTTCTTCCCAGATATGCCTTTTCCTGCTCTTCTCTCTGATACCTTCAGCTTTTAAAGCTGTCTTCTGCTCACAAATCGCCCATAAAGGAATATGGTATATCTCAGAAGCAGTCACCCCACTCTTAACACGAAGCTATGATACCTGATTCTTTAGCCCACAAAAACACTGGCTTTTTTCTTCACGGGCCATGTTGCATTTGTAGCTCTATCGAGTTGACGGTCCAGTAGTCCCCATTTGGGCTTTTCCTTGGGCTTTTTCTTTCCCATAGTCTATGTAGGTTGGGTGGGATTTTTGCTCTTCTCATATCCATCCTGGAGGTATGAGCTCTAGGCAGCTCCATGCTTTGCTGCACAACTTTGGGCAGTGCCCTATACAGCATATCTGACTCTGTATCTGCCTCTCCCCAGGTCCTTCACAGAGCAGCTCTGCCCCAACTTGGGGCCCTGGATTGCATTAAAAGTTAGGAGTTGCAATGCATAACCTCTGTCTTTTATTAGACCTGCCCCTGAACCCCTTCTCCTAGTCTTCTGTCCTTGCTGGTGGCCGCAGCACCACCTAATTTGGCTGCAACTGAACTGTGCTAGTGGGGTGTTATTTTGGGGGTATGGCTGTGGCCATTTGCTTGTGAATACACTGCACAACACTGAATCAGATGTGAATCAAAGCATCCTATGCAGGTGGCAATGGATAAGTCAGGGGTCGGGCTTCTCAGCAAAAAGCACACTGCTCACCTCTGATTAGACATCTGTTACTAGACTTCCACCTCTAATGTCACACAGTGCTTTAACCATGGCACAGATACACTTAAGGGCATAGGATGACTTCAGTTTATTAAACTTCAAAGAAGAGATGATCAATTCTGCCTCAAACTTCTGTGTTTCTAATACCACGTTTTGCAGGCTGGTACAGGCCAGGTCCCTTCCCCGAGGACCTGCTACTCTACCAAGGCATGATATAAATACCATAGAGAAGGCTTTTCCAATAACAGGTGTTTCATAGGCTATGGGTGCGCTGGCATTTTAGTTGCTTTCCATGCCACGTTCGTCTGTGGATGCTGGGGACATGGGTCACGGGCACAGACTTGCATGGAGCAGCAAGGTGGCTACAATCTTTGGAGCATAACAGGAAAACCTCAGGCCAGATGCCATGACCATGATCACTGGATGAGTAGCTGTTCAGCAGAAGCAGTTGTGACCCAAATGCTGGAGGTGTCACTTTTCCCAACCCGAGTCATCATCACTTCTAGGGCTGGGCTAGCTGCTCTGTTGGCCCCAAGGGGAGGCATAGCTCCGTTCCTACCAGGGCAGCCACTTCTCTCTTACTTTAAGGGCTGTCTCTTTGCCCCAGGCAAAAGGAGGCATTTCTTTCCCTGACCGTCAGCTGTAAGCGTGCAGGCTTGTGCTCTGTGCTGCATGTGTCCGACAGCGTGGATGATCTGTAGCACTGGTAGGTGCTTTCAAACTGAGATGCCCATTCGTTTCCAGCGTATTTGTGCCACAAATGTCCCTCGCTGGGTCACACTGGAAACCTCTGCCGCATCTTCTCCCTGGTAGAAGGTGGGTTGCTTGGGACATTACTTTCCAAACAGGCTCCCCAGCCAAAAGGAAGCTTTATATATGCAGGAGCATGCAACCAGAGCCCAGGAGCCCCAGGCCACTCACGGGGCAGCAGTAGAAGGCCTTTGGCTAATGAGGTGTGTAAATCATCAGTCAGACTGCCTACACCTCGGTATGTGATCCTTTGGTGTTGTGCCTACACCCAGACCCTGCCTTCCTATCTATGGTGCAAAGGGTGGGATTGAAGATAGGAGCTAAGTGACTTGCCAGAGGGCATGCACTACATCAGTAGCAGAGCTAGACCTAGACTACAGGTCTCCCAAGTCCTCGTGCGGCCCAGCAAGTGCCCTGCAGCCTGGACTGCTGCTGATGGCACTGCCCAGCCTCTTCCCACCTGTTACTATCTGCCTCACACTTGCATGCCAGGGACTCCCTGCAACCTCTCCCTCCTCCAGGACTGCCAGTCCAGGAGCTCTGACTCCTCTGTTAGTGAAGGAGGTGAGGGTTTGAATTGCCTTCCAGAAAGCACCCAACAGCGTCTTACAAACTCCCCAAGTGCCTAGCACAGCCTGAAGAAGCTCCCTACTCCACCCCTCCATTGCTTCCTCATTAGCGGTACATAAAGCAGGTTGCTGGTAATGAAGTGGGGCTGCGCTGGGAATTTTAACCTCCGGGCCTGAAAGCACAACCCTCCTTTTCCTGCTCTTTGAACTGCATCGCTTCGCTACGAGTTCAGGTACAGTTCTGCCTGTTATATGGCATTGCCTCCAGCTTAATTATCAGTTATCAGTCACCTGGTTGGCATCTGACTGGTGAAGGAGCACTGAAAGGTCTCTGAAGGTTTCTGTGGGCTTTGGGCCTGACTGAGGGCAGGCCCCTGTGTTTATAGGAAATCATGTGCCCACAGGGTCCCTTCCAGACCCTAGCCAGAACTGTCCTATTAAAAACCACTTCCAATGGGCCCCAGGTGAAGAGCAGGAGAGACAAGGCCACCACAAATGCCTTGTCTGCTGCAGAGGCAGAGGATTTAAGTTGCATATGCTCAGATGATCTTAACAGCACCATGCTTCATAGTACCAAGGAAGGCACACCTCCCAGCAGTCCTTGCCAGTCTGACCTAGAGGAAAACTCCTACCTGCCCCCACACTTAGTGATCAGTTGGACTCCCTGAACATAGGAGCGAGACCCTTCAGGCAGGTGCTTTAAAGGGCTCTACGTATTGGCAGGTTCTTCCTGGTCTCTCTAGTTGACCAGCAGAAGCCCTGAAGCATGGGACATAGTACTCATGATAGCATGGGACTCGACACCCTTTCCACTCCTATGTTTCTAGATGCTCACCCCTTACAATCCCCTGATTCATCATTAAAATCCCACAGTAGGGATTGCATGGGGCGGGGGGGTACTCCCGATTTTTCAGGCCAGCTGCATCCAGTCTACATCCATTCATCCTGCTGGCTCAACTCCATCCAAACTTATTCTGTACTTCTTGCACATCCCTGTTCTGCAGAGCTGCTGTTTGCTGTTAAACAGCTGTTGTGTTTCACCCAGGCTGTGGTGGGTGAAGTGATTCTTTACATAGTTTGTTTAAAGTGCTCTGAGATCCTTAGAGATGAAAGGCCTTATGTGAACGTGCAACTGTTTTCATTAGTTGGCCATATGGTAGCAAATCCAGGGCCACCTAGAACAGACTTGGTTGTGACTATGCCGTATACCAAGGCCATCCTGAATGTCACAGCTGTGGTGCAAAAAGAATACGGCTCCTGCTCCTCCGAAAGCATTGAGTCCTATGATGCACACAAAAGAAATGCTAGCAGAATAGCGCACATGCTGCTGCATTTGCTTGTAGCAGGGATTTTTAACCAGGGTGCTAAGACTCCACAGGGTGCCATGAGATCTTGTAAGAACGCCAGGGGTTTCTGCACAATATTAGCACTATTGGGTGT